TAAAAAATTTAAAGAAGCCATGTCGAGACTGGTAGGATGGGTGGAGACGTAAAATAGGCCCCAAACCTCTGTGTGGCAATTGAGAATCAGAAGGGATATCTTGGCCATGGAGGTTTCCCCTGGAGGAGCGAGGAACCCCAGTCTCCCACACCAGGCTCCCCAGCCCAGAGTACTGGTGATGGAAAGAGAAGTCCCTACAACATCTGGCTGTGAAAAACAGTGGGATGAAAGGTTGCGGGAAACCCAGGCATCCTCTTAAAAGGCCTACACACAGACTCACTCACTCACAGGCACTCACCATGGGCTCCAGCAGAGGGACAGGGACTTGGGGGGTGTCGGACACATACAGCAGCAGACTGAGGTATGTGGCATTGGAGCACGGACAGGAGGACAGTCACCATTTCCCTGTGAGGGGGTCTTCCTCCCATGCAGCCAGCAGGCGGGAGCCATCTTTCCTGTGTTGAGCCCTCCCCACAAAGGCCAAATCTGAATCTGACTGGCCTGGTGACTCCGCTGGAACCCCACCCCGCCCAACTTACCCAACACCAGAGGCACTTTCTTGCGAGCAGCGAGCCCCTCCCACATTGCACTCTTTCCTGCAAAACTATTGGAGTCCACAGGCCCCAGGCGGGCAACGACTGGCCTTGGTATGCTCTGATGTTTTTGCTGAGTATCTCCAGGCTCAGGCACTGGCACCAAATCAGAATTTACATTAACCTTGTGACCACAACTCTTCCCACTCTAGTGACTCCCTGAGACTCTGCCTCAACCAACACACATACGACACAAAGCTCTATCCATGGCTGAACCTTAAGGGAGTCCGCAGGTGGCAGTAGGCCTCAGAGTGTCCTGGCTTTTTGTGGAGCTACCTCAGGCCCAGTACTGGTGGCAGAAGTCCTCGGTTCACAGTGTGGCCTCTCCCACATGCCTCAAGGTGTAGCACAAGCAGTGAACAACTGTGGATAGCTTTATATCACCTACCAGGTAGCACCCAGCTAGTCACAGGCAGTGGGTGACCTGGGCCTGCACTGGTGCACGTCCCCAGAAGCCCCAGAACCAACACACTTGGAGGTTGGCTTCAGACCACATCAGAGCACCACCTCATTAGCTCTACAAGTGGCATACACAAAGGGTGGTCTCAATAGGCACAGAGCCCACTGAGGCAAACCCCATTTAGTGGGTAAGCCTCCTGCACAGCAGCCCATAAGCTATGAATGTGGCCAAATCCCACAGCCAACCAGCCTGAGGGTCAATCCCACCCACTGATGTGTCAATAGCAATCAAGACTCAACTATAACAGGAGAGCACACACACCCTCACAAGGGTCACTCCTAGAGCACCCAGTGCAGGTAACGAGGGAGACTGTGCCAGGGTCCCACAGGGTACGTACTACATAAGGCCACCTGGCAAAGACTGGGAGACATAGTAGATCTACCTAGTACATAGAATCAAGCACAGAGAGGCAGCTAAAATGAGGAAGAAAAAAATGTGTCCCAAATGAAAGAACAGAAGAAAACCAGAAAAAGAACTAACTGAAATGGAGGCAAGCAACCTATCAGATACAAAGTTCAAAACAATGGTTATAAGGATGTTCAAGGAACAGGGGGACTCCCTCTTAAATTATATAAATGTCTATGCTGTATACTTCAAATTAATATAAAGTACTATTGAATGTCAGTGGTAATCGAAAAAATTTAAAAAGGGGAGAAAAGGTGAAGGGGAATAAGAGGTCCAAATTTCCAAGTATAAAACAAATAAGTCATGGGGATGTAATGTACAGCGTAGGGAATAAAGTCAATAATATTGTGATAGCGTGGTATGGTGTCAGGTGATTGCTGAACTTATCATGGTGATCACTTCTTTAGGTATATAAATGTTGAGTAACTATGGTGTACTCCTGAAAATAATATAATATTGTAATGTTAGCTATATTTTTAATAAAAATCTTAATAAATAAATAAATAAAAGGCAACCTTGATCATTGCCAAACTATTCAAAGATTATGGAGAAAATATAAAGCTTTTTATAATTTGACCCCTATGTCATTTCGTTTGCTTGCACTCTTCCTTTTAATATGTCACTCGACAATTTATGAACTCCATGAGTTTCCTGAGTATAACATGCTGTTTTGGCCTCCCCACCTTAGAACGTGCTATTCTTTCTACCTGAAATACTTTTTCTTTTTGTCTGTCAGGTGAATTGCTGCTCATCAGGCAAACCTCAACTTTCAGTCCAGTTCTGTTGAATGAACTTTTTGGCCCCACACTAGTTCTTTGAGGGTAGGGATTGTGCTTTATTATCTCTGTGTCACCAGCGTCTAGTACTGGGTCTGACAATGAAATACACATCACGTATTTGTTGATATAACCTAAATGTACTAAAGCTTTAAGTAGACTCAGATGTAAATTATTAACAGGAAGAAATTTCTAAAGTAATTTCTCTATTTTAGTATTATATTTAATCAAATTCTGTTTTCACTATATATATATATTTTTAAGACTTTATTGGGGAATTGGGGAAAGGGAACAGCCAAGTTGTTGTCCTTCAGTCTTAGCTGTGAAGGGCACAGCTAGCTCAGCTCCAAGTCCAGTCACCATCCGACCGCCCATTGGCAGCTCGCAGCCACTCAGCTCAAGGTGCCATGTTCAATCTTAGTTGCAGATGGGCATAGCCACCATCCCATGTGGGAATGGAACTGAAAACCTTGTTGCTAAGAGCACACGCTTTAACCACTGAGCCATCTGGCTGCCTGTCAGCAGCTCAACGCAGCTCAGCTCAAGGTGCTGAGTTCAATCTTAGTTGCCAGTGGGCATAGCCCACCATCCCATGTGGGAGTTGAACCGACAACCTTGTTGTTAGGAGCATGTGCTCTCACCAGCTGAGCCATCCTGCCACCTGTTGGCAGCCCAGTGGCAGCTCAGCTCAGGCCCAGCTCACTGGCCCACGTGGAAATCGAACTGTAGCTCGCACTCTAACCAACTGAGCCACTCGGCTGGCCCCTGTTTTCACTATTTTTAATGCCAACATTAAAACACTCAATATTTTTATTTTGTTTCAATTCCAGTACATTTCATTTCCCTGAACCACCCTACCTATAGAACTACTGAAAGTTAAATACCTGATGGAAAGAGTCTTATTATCTCCAGAACACAAACCATACATTACCTCTCTAGATTAAAAAATAAATGTAGGGCCGGCCGAGTGGCACGATGGTTAAGAACTGGCTTGGGACGCCAGAGGGCCCCGGTTCGGATCCCACATATGAGGGCCAGTGACACTGCCCTTCACAGCTAAGATGCTGAACAACAGCTCAACCTGGAGCTGGGCTGCCGTGAGTCGCCAGCGACGGCATAGGCTGCAGCCCCAGCTGCAGTGGGTTGCCATGGGCTACCGTATGTAGCCGGCAGCCAGCGTGAGCGGCCAGCAGCTGCAGTGAGCAGCTGTCCAGAAGCTGGAGACTGATCTGCCTCGCCTGGGAAGAGCACAATGATGGTGCCAACTTGGGTCAGTGAAGCAATGTCCTCCACAACTAGACTGAAGAACAAAAGGACAGCAACTTGTCTGTTCCCCTTCCCCCAATTCCCCAGCGCTGTTCCCATCCCCAAATTCCCCCTAAATAAATAAATAAATAAATAAATAAATAAATAAATAAAAATAAATGTAAAAGTTCTCAAAATCCTACTTCAAATTCTGGTGAGTTTTGAAGAAAAAAAGTTACACTTATCCTAGGTCACACACCCCAAGGAATAAACTGAGAAGATTTTAATAAAATCTTTAAATGAAGTCTTCAACTTATTCCACACAATTAACTCTACTTGAATATTTATATGAAACAAACAGAAATAAAAGCCTCTGATAACTAGAATCATTTTTCCCAGGACAGCACAATTATTTCCTATATGAACAATTATAACCAGACACAACAAGCTCTTTTGTTTTCATCATTAGATGCTGGAGTGAGGATATTTCTTAAGGCTTGTAAAAATCCTAGGTTTACAACTTCCCAGGAGAGCCAACATCTCTTGAGAAGAAGAGAGCAATATAAGGTAATCAAGACAAGCTCTCCTTTCCTCTAGCAAGCTGTCTTGAACCAATAAAAATAGATCCTAGGAACATCCTTTAATCTAGGAATAACATCCATAACAGACAGGGTTGGGGGTCAAAACCCCCCTTCCTTTTTCCTGTGATCCTCATGGCGGGGGGAAATTAAAGCCAGTTGGAACTATTTATGAAGGAAACTGAGCAATAAAAGAGAAAAAAAATGCATACAGGAGATTAGAGGCAGTACAGAAAGAGAAGCTAGCTGGCTAACAGCACCCCTCAAATTCTATTTTGCCTATACTAGTGCCTAAATTTCTGTTTTTCACCATTTCCTGTTTCTACTACATCTCCCTGCAATTTCAGGCCTATTGAAACCCATGTTTTCATTATCGAACACGCATCTCAACAGCGTAAGGATGAACATGCCTTTTAGACAGTGGTCATTCGCAATATGGTGATGGAAACGGATCCATTTCCTTTCCATGTCTTGGCTTCCCTACCCCTGACCTATGGCTTCAGCTCTTGTAAAGGTGCAGGATTAGAAAAGCACTGTGTGTTCCAAGCAGTGAGTTCCTCTCTAAGTCAGAGCCAGCGTTTGGATGCCAAATCATGTTTACAAAGCACCTGAACAAATATGAATGCTTTGACTGCCAGTGATCTATGTCTAAAATTAACCTTCAAAATGTAAGGTTTTTGCTTCTCAAGTAAATGCCTCACTATGGAAAAAGGGTATGTGAGTGAAAGGGTACACACAGAATCTCAAAACACCTTACCTCCTTTCTTCTGGTTTTGAAATTCCCTGTTGAGTCACTTTGTTGTTCAATGCTGAGGGCACTTAAAGTATAATGAATGTGATAGTCAACAGACTATCTGGCCAGATGCATCAGCAAACCACAGCCCTCCTTTTACAAGTACCCGTACAGGTTTATTTTAACCGTTGGGTTTGGGTTTTTCCACAGCTATTAATATTGCTGAGCCCAGGTTCCATGGCACGGACCCCTTTGGATACACTTCATTCTTGGCTTATTCTCGGATCCCAGACATCGACTTTGATTATGAATTCCACTTGAAGTTTCAGCTGGCAAACAATCACTCGGCACTGCAAAATAACTTAGTGTTTTTCACTGGACAGAAGGGCCTTGGTAAGATTAACCGAACCCTCTAGGACTTGCTGAACTCGTGTAAGCATACTTGAGAGATTCTTCAGGTCCGCTGTATTGGGCTGTAGGTAAAGGAGACATTTGCCTAGATGCAGCCTCCTCCTGTTTTCTGCATCTAGCCTGTTCCTTGTAGTTCAAAGTGTTCAGCAGTTTCCTGACCTTTCCTGTCACCCTGTTCACACCAGGGCTACCTCTTACAATCAAGGGCAAGAATTTCTGCAGGCAAACGGGAGGGCAGAGCAGGTAACTAAGTCACCTGAGAAGTGAGCTTATTGACTTGTCTTTTCCTGTTTCTCTCTATCTCCATATTACAAGGAGAGAAGGGAAATTCTCAGAAGGAACATAATTTTACCATGGTGTGTGAAATGGAAATGGCTGCCATCAAAGAAAACCATTCCAAATTAAAGGAGTAAGATGAGGAAAGTACTTAGCCTGTGGCAAGTACTAGCACCCTAGAATTGGTGGGAAATCATCTTACAAATTAAATTTGTCTGTCTTAAGTAGAAACCAGTTATGCATGTGTAGGATCAAGGAAATGCACATATATTTTACGCCCAAGATGGCAACTCAATAGTTAGGCAATTAATCACTTGCCTTCTCTGAGCTCAGTGTCCTCATCTATAAAATCAACCTATTACACCGGAAAAAGACGTTTCCCTAAACCGCCAGTAGTTCCATTGTGCTGGGGTAAGTAGCATTCTGTTCTTTTCAACTCCCTCGGTGACTCTCCTAATAGCCTTGGTTTCTGTATTAACACATGTCTGAAAGGAGCCCACGCCCACGAGAAGTACGATGTACAGCCCCACCACCACCACCACCCTTGTGAGGATGGGAACACTCTGTCACGTGAAGTGCTATTCGTTCTACCTCCGAAATTTGTTTGAATCTCTTTCCCAGCTCTATTGCCAAAACCTCATGACCTCCATCTCACTGGTCCTCCTACTGCCTTTCCTGCCGGCAATCCATTCTCCAAGTGGCAGCGAGAGTTACCTTTGTAAAAGACGTACCATCATATTTGAACCTTGCTGAAAACCCACCTGCGACTTTCCACTGTATTACTCAGAATGAAATCCAAACGTCCCTATCATGTTCTCCAAGGGCCTTCAGGATCAGAGCTCTGCCTCTATGTCTACCCTCAGCCAGGCCACTCTCACCATCTCTCTGCTCCCCTCCTACAGATCTCCTTTCAGTGCCTCAATCATCAAGTGCCCTCCTGTCTCAGAGGCTTTGGGTATGCTCTTTCCTCTGCCTTGTCAGGAAATGGCTATCAGAGCGGTCAAGAGAGCAGGCTCTCGGGTTTGGCAGTGTAGGCTTGAATCCAGTTTCCACCACTCAAAACAGTGGTTCTCAACCTTTCACAGGGGTCACCTAAGACCATCGGAAAACACATATTTTCGATGGTCTTAGGAACCGAGACACCGCTCCTCTATCCGTCTCCAGGCCCACATGCAGATACGCCCACATACGAGTACCCCGTGACCCCTGTGAAAGGGTCGTTCGACCCCCAAAGGGGTCGCGATCCACAGGTTGAGAACCGTTGACTCAAAATTATGCGTCAAGTTACTTAATGCCTCAGTGCCTCAGTTTCCTCACCTCACAAATGAGTCTAATAATAGTACATTCCCTAGTAGAATTGTGAGATTTAATATAGTTAATGCACGAAAAGCCTTGGACTCAATAAACATGGTAACTCGTATTTTCTCCAGGAGGCTTTCCCAGCCATCTTTACAAAAGTAGATCTTATCTCACCCCATCCAAGTTATTCTCTACCTCAGCTTCTTCCTTATTCCCTCCAAAGCCCTTACCTCAATTTAGAATTTTTTAATCTATTGTTAGAGGGTTGCTTTTTTTCTGTCTCCACTATGAGAGTGGGAGCTCTGTGTGGACAGGGACCAAGTCAGCCCTGTTTGACTATCTGTGTCCACACTTAACACACTGCCTGACACATATTCAGCACTGAATGAATAAATGAAAGAACCACAATAAGAACGGATAACTGGATGATTTGTGGATCGGCAGCACAGTTGTACAAAGGTGCTTAAAATGCAGCCATGATTAGGGGCTCCAATTCAGATGCCACCCCTTCTATTACAGTTTCCCCAGGGGCTACCCAGCTCCCACTGCTTGGATGAACCCTCCTTGTCCTGAGCAGCCATAGTGTGCCCTGCCCTGAGGGCATAGACTCTTTATCACAGGCTTTGGTTGGCTAGGTTTCTCTCCTCATGCATAGAAACAGTGTCCCTGTTATCACTATATCACACGCAAGGCCTCTCTCAGGTGGTTTTAATAAATAATCTGTTGAATGACTGCCAGGAGGCATGGCGGAAAGAAAAGAAGGAAGAAGAAATTCCTACCCCTTACTCTTTAATCCTCACACCCGTCATCATATGTGTATCAATTATATATATCCTTTTCATTAGGGAAAAAAAAAAACCTAGCAAATGAAAAATTCAAATGAGCATTACAGGCCCCGGATCTGCCTTGTTTTAAAACAGATCTTCTAAATCCTGAAAGATTCACAGAGGAAGGACCCAGGCTAGGGATAAAACTTGGTCCATAAAATGCTGCCATTAAATAACTCTTCAGTACTCTTCTACTAAAGACTCCTTCAAATTTATCTAAACATCCAGGGGGAAAAAATGTTTTTAAAGCAATGTTTTAGCCACAGCATTTTTAAATTGTGGAATCTTACCTGTGACATTTTCTGGTCTTCTCTAGTCATCTAGCTTGTATTTATGCAAATGGATGCTAATTCTGCACTTGCATTTGTAGGTTGGTGGCATGGTTCAATAAAGGCCATATTAACAGGTAGATCAATTGTGGGGCTCTATTTTCTAATTAGTGAAACTGAGAAATCTGAAACACATAATTCCACATTGTACCACCAGAGGGAGCAAGAACACCAGCTAAAAAGTGCAAGCGGCACTAGAGAGCCTTTTAGGCAATGCTTCTCCAAGTGGGACCTCTTCACACCTGTGTCAGAAGCACATGAGGTCGCTTGTTAAAGCGCTAATTCCCAGGCTCTCTTGAGTCAAAATATATCATTTTATCAGGCACCTTAGGTGCTTTTTGTGCAACTAATATTTCAGAGCAACCACTCAAAACCTCTAGAGGCCAATTAAATTAGACCATATATTGGGATGGACTAAGATATGTAATTATTGCCCATAGTATCATATGTAGGGATGAGTCACCAATTTGTGCAGCATAAAGTTATTAAGGAACTGCATTATCCTTTAAAACATATTATTATGATTAATATTAACCACACAATTTAAAATTATTCTACATAAGAAACTATGATCCAAATGTTATTTTTAACAGTGGTAGCTCCACCCTCAGGTATGATTCTTATTGTTTAGTAAAATCAATCTCTGACCCGAATACTGGTTGTTAGTACTAAAATTACCGTTCCTTATGCTGCCTTTCCTTAGGTTAAAAGGTGCACAAAGCCACAGAGTTTATATAATAATTTGAAATATAAGCCAACCTCTAATTTCTGACATATCCACATAAAAAGGCAAGGGGCCATCATTCCCCAGCACTGATTATATGCTTCCCTGAGTCCCCCCAAGCTGAACAGATTTTTCCAGATTTTATTCTTATTGAACTCTCTGGACAAATTACCCTGTCAAAAATTTCAGCTAGACAGTGTCTCTCTTTTTTTTTTTAAGATTTTTATTGGGGAATTGGGGAAAGGGAACAGCCAAG